CTCTCTGTCTCTGTCTCACTCTCTGTCTCTCTCTCTGTCTCTGTCTCTGTCTCTGTCTCTCTCTCTCTGTCTCTCTCTCTCTGTCTCTGTCTCTCTCTCTCTCTCCCACACACACACACACACACACACACACACACACACACTCAGTATGCTTGCACTCTCGCGGTAGTGATTCCAATGACCACTCGCACTTTGGCTTCCTTCTCAGCGTCGCTCACACTCATACGCTCACGCATACACCATACATCATGTTCTCCAACCCCAATTCCATGGAGCAGGTCGTTGTTGTCGCTTCACCCGACGTCCGCGCAGTTTACAGACATCTTGTATGGCGTGAAGACGCTATCGCTGACCCTCATTGGGTGGTACACGCTGCATGAGGTGTTTGTGTACTACGGCTTCTCCCTCGGGCGCTGGCTGGCGCAAGTGGCCTTCTGGGTCACGCTGCTTGTGCTGTGCATCTTCTCCAACCACAAGCTCTATCGGGGCTTCCGTGCATTCTTTTATGAGCGCCTGCACACGTTCTTCACCTTCTCGGAAGTCAAGTTTGTCGACGTGCTCACCGCAGATGCCCTCACCTCAATGTCCAAACTCCTCGCCGACATGCAGGTGTGTGTTTGGGGTGTGTGTGTGTGTGGGGGGGGGTGAGATGAGCGTGTGTGCAGTGTGTGTACGTGTGTGTGTGTGTGCTTGTGTGCGCACATGTGTGTACGTGTGTGTGTGTGCTATGTGTGCACATGTGTGCGCGCACATGTGCGTATGTGTGTGTGTGTGTGTGTGCGAGTCGGCATGAGCGTTGTGGTCACGGCACACGCACACAGGGCTTCGAGCCAGCCATCATTCACCAATTCACTCGTTGCCCCAACACACACACACATACACACGCACACATGTGGCGCAGATTGTCGTTTGCTCGATTGTGGGGGTGCTGAGCCTGAACTTTGATGCGGGGAACACGCGGTGCATGCACAGCGTGGTGGCGCCGGTGCTGGCAAGCCTGCCATACCTCATCCGTGCCATCCAGTGCTACCGCGCATACCTCAGCACGGGATCCTCGCACCATCTCGTGAACCTTGGCAAGTACCTGTCCTCCTTCCCCGTCATCTGGACCTCCGCCCTGAAGCACCAGCTTGCGCCCGTCGAAGGCGTGCGTCTTGACAAACACGACCAGTACCTTCAACTGCTCTGGCTCTACACTGTCACCATCAACACCCTCTACTCGTACCTGTGGGACATTCTCATGGATTGGGGCCTGTGCCGCTCGCCACGCGCCAAGCACGTTTTATTGCGTGATGACCTGCATTTTAAACGCCCCTGGTTGTATTACACGGCCATGGCTGGGGATCTTGCCCTACGCCTGTGCTGGAGCCTCAAACTCTCCTCGCACCTCCAACAACACGCTTCAGGTGTGTGTGTGTGTTGTGTGCATGTTTGTGTGTCTGCTTGTGCGTGCGTGCGTGCGTGCGTGCGTGTGCATGTTTGTTTGTGTGCGTGTGAGTGTGTGTGTGTGTGTGCATGTGTGTGCATATGCTTGCGTTTGGTGATTTGGTACTCAACTGCTGAACAAGCTGCGATTCCTGTTGGTGCTCGTGTCTCACCCTTGTTTACTCTCACCCTAATTCACCCTCACCATCACCACCATTGCCACCCACCGCTGCACAACAACAGGGCAAGCGTTTGCGTTTCTGTTTGAGGTGCTTGAGGTGTTCAGGCGGTTCGTGTGGAATTTCTTCCGTGTGGAGTGGCAGTACATACAGGAACGCCACAAACACACCACCCGCGAGCTCACAGCCGTCCTGCATACTTCTAGTCCGCGGGCCTTGACATAGCAGACCGACCGCAAGCACGCTTCGATAACGCGCACGCACGTGTTTTTGATGCGTGTTACATGTCAGCGCGACAGGCTTGTTCATGCGTACAGGTGTTTGTTTGTGCGTGCTGGAGTGTTTGTATTTGACAGAAGCGAGTGAGAGCACACGTGTCATTTCTGGTGTGATGACGGTGGTGTGGTGCTGTGGCAGGAGAGACAGTTACCAGGTATCCTGTGATGCGCTGTGCAGACTTTTACGGGTAGGAGGTGTACACAGCAGGCGCTTGCTTGCATGCAGACAAGGCTCACACCCACGATCACACGTGGCAAAGAGAGCTGTGGGTTTAGTTGGTGTTGACGTTGTTACAGTAGGAAAGCCAGGCATTTCACAGCAAGTAAACAACACTTCAATTCACGCTGATGGGGGCATGATATGGCCATGTAACAATGTATGTGTGTGAGAGAGAGTGTGTGAGAGAGAGAGTGTGTGTGAGAGTGTGTGTGTGTGAGAGAGTGTGTGTGTGTGTGAGTGTGTGAGAAAGTGTGTGTGTGTGTGTCAGAACTGGAATTGCGTGGAGTTGCCGTTGTCGCGATTCTCACTGTCGTCATCCGCTGGTGTGATGATGATTTTTGGTGGTGGGGATGATGATCATGGTGAGGAAGTAGTTGGGATTGGGAGCCAATTACAAGATGTGTGCATGTGCATGCGTGTGCGTCTCTGTGTGCGGGCCAGCTACCAAAACCACCATCATCATCACAATCCCTGCCACCACCACCACCACCACCACCACCACCACCATCACCACCACCACCACTGTTGTGCGTACTGAGGTCTGTGAGTCGGCCGACGCGCCGGCGGCGAATGTCTCTGCAGTGGGAATGAGCGAGGGGTTGAGGTTGGTGTGTGTTGGTCGGTGGTCGAGACACACGAGCATGCAGAGTGCTGCAAGGGGCGAGGGAAGCATGCAATGGTGCACACACACACACACACACACACACATACACACACACACACACGCACACACACACACACACGCAGAGCTCCACCTTGCGTCTCTCTGTGTTTCTGCTCCTCCTGCTGTTGACGATGACGATGCAGCCTGCCGTCCACCACCACCACCACCACCACCAGCTGCTGTTGTCGCTGCCGCTGTATTGGATGGTGGTGGCGGTGGAGACTGGAAGAACGCTTTGACGAGCTCCACAAGCCACTCGCACACGCCCGCTACCGTGCATGTCAGCAACACATGGTGTAGTGTAGCGTGTTGAAGGTGGGGTTGGTCAGTCAATGTTGCTGTGCTTTTGACTGGTTTGATGATGGATGAGAAAGTGTGGAGAAGGAGAAGGAGAAGGAGAAGGGGTGTGTGGTGGCGGCGGTGGTGGCGGTGGCGGTGGTGGTGGTACATCTTGACTTGAACGATAGGTGACAATCACAACATATCCACATCCATTCAACCACTGAGCGTTCGTGACTGCGAGAAAGTGTTTGGACATACGCGGCTTTGGCGGCGGCTCGAGGATGTGGACGAGAAGGCGGGCGCGCGGCACCAGGCCGTGGTCCCGCAGCGTCGTCTGGTGATGGTGGTGATGGTGGTGGTGGTGGTGGTGGTGGTGATGGTGGTGATGATGGTGAGGGTGGTGGTGGTGTATGGGATGAGAACACGTGAATGAATCAGAGCTCGGCAAAGCACAGTGGAGCGGCAAACAGACACAGATACAGTCACACGGCACAGCACGACACGACATGACACAGATACAATGCAATACAACACAACACAACACAACGCGACACAGCACAACGCAGCCCTGCGCGCCGTTGTCACCTGGTCGTGCTCGTCAAAGGACTTGACGGGGTACGGCTGTCGGATGGCAAGCGGGTTTGACGTGTTTAGCAGATTGGCGCGCACGTGCTCAAACACGGCGCTAACGGGCGCATCCGCCGACAGCGTCACCTATCATGGATACGAGAGAGGAAGGAGGGGGAGTGAGCAGGGAAAGGAAGTGGAGAGAAAAGAGAGGGAGGGAAGAGAACAAGACACACGTGTGTGTGTATGTATGTGTGTGTGTATGTGTGTGTGTATGTGTGTGTGGTTGAAACATGCACGTTGTTGCCAAGTCATTAGGAACGCTTGCAACACACACACACACACACACACACACATGTGTACGCATGTGTTGCCAGTCCCCTCACCTGCGCCGTTGATGCATCTGGCAGACGAAGGGAGAGCACTGCTTCATCATAGTGCTGTTGCTGTTGCTGTTGCTGCACTTGCGCGCCCTCCTTCGTCTCACCATTCCCATCATTCCCATTCTGCCTCTCTTGCTTCGCCTGCTGCTGCTGCTGCTGCTGCTGCTTGGCGCGTGCCCTGTCCTCTGCAATCTTCCTGAGCGCCTCCTGTCGCCTCCGCTTGTCCTTCTCCTTCTCAAACCGCCGCTGCGCACCCTGCATCGCCTGCACACAGCAGCCACGGCAGCGTGGTGTCAGGAGGGGGGGGGGTCAGGTGAGGAAGAGAGAGAGAGAGAGAGAGGGTGTGTGTGTGTGTGTGTGTGTGTGTGTGTGTGTGTGTGTGTGTGTGTGTGTGTGTGTGTGTGTGTGTGTGTGTGTGTGTGTGTGTGTGTGTGTGTGTGTGTGTGTGTACGAAAGGTCTTTCATGCACACATGTGCGATTCAGAAGTGTGTGGTTGTTGCGGGAAGCGCACACGGTGTAATGGCAGCCAGTGTTTGCTTGCTCACCTTTGCTTGATCCCGGCGTGCAAGCTCTTTCTTCCTCTGCTCCTCCTGCTCCTGTTGCCTCTTCTGCTCGCGTGCTTGCTCCACCTTCTTCATCATCGCCGCCTTTCGCTCCTCCAAACTCCCAGCTGCCTGCTGCTGTTGTTGCTGCTGTTGTTGCTGTTGCTGCTGTGTGGGTGCGGGTGTGTCCGTATGTGCTGCGGACGCGTCGCTCGGTCGTTCGCAACCGGCGGTGAGCACCTCCAACAGCTGCTCCTGCGACGCCGGCGCCCGCAACACCTTTACCGTTTGCCGCGAAACCGTGTCAAACACGAGCGTGCACGGCGGCGTGGCCTGTGGGACTGCAGGGGAGCAGGGCACATGAAATTTTGCGTGAGTGTTCGTGTGTGTGTGTGTGTGTGTGTTCGTGTGTGTGTGAGTGTGAGAGTTAGTGTGTATGTGTGTGTGTATGTGAGTACAAATCAGCACGTGGTTGTTGCGCATGGGCACCTCAGCGGTGAAGAAAGATGTGGAGGTACGCACGTTCACGGACACATGACGACATTCGCATCATCGAAACACAAACACAAACACAAACACACACACACACACACACACACACACACACAAACACACACACACACACACGAAGGCGCGTACATGCACTGAGGAACTGGGCGCATGTTGGGTCTGAGGTGGAAAACTTGACGCAGCAAATGTGTTGGGACCCGGAGACGATGCTGTCCACAATGGGGTCCTCCCATGCTGCCTGCATCGCCTTGCTCTCCTCAGAGTCATCTACACAAAACAAAGATATAAAGGGAACGGGGAGTGAAACACAGGGACGACACATTACGCAGTGTGTGTGTGCGTGTGTGTGTTCCATGATGTTACAATCAATGCTTTCATTTACATGGGCACGACGACAGACCGAGCTGCTGTGCAGGGTGACATACATACACATCATACAACACACATCACATCACGCACACAGACAAACACATCACACGCATCACATCACACACACACGCATCACATCTCACACACGCATCACATCACATCACATCTCACACACGCATCACATGACATGACAGCATCGCGCACTCTCAGCATGCGCACCGTAGGCAAAGGCGATGAAGAAGCCTTTCTTCTGCTTGGCCGCAGCAATGGCCGCCGTCGTGCTTGCGTACCACCAGCTCATCATCAACTTCCGAGGTGAGTGTTGAGAGGGTGTGTGTTGCGCTTGCGCTGAAAGTCGGTCGGTCTCCTCGTCTGCTTTGTGTGCACTAATCATTTTGTGGTGTCGTGTCACGTAGGCGGATACAACCTCGATCCACACCAACCAACCAACCCACACAACACCAACCAACACACCCACACAAGATGATGATCACCACCACCACCACCCGCAGCCTGATGCTGGTGTTGTTGAGTGTTGTTGCGGTGACGGTGGCGCGGGCGAATGGAGAAGGAGGGGATGCGGTTGCAGTGCAGGTTGACGAGTTTGGGGACCTGCACATGAACACGAGCTGCCCTGGGTCCGACTGCGGAGGGCGCAAGGTGTTTGTGAACGGGCAGCCCGTGGTGGAGCAGCTGCTGGAGGCGGAGGCGTTTGTTGACGCGATGGCGGCGCGGCTGTGCGAGGCATCATCCCCCCTGAGTGTGGACGCGACACCTGGCCCGGATAGTGCATCCTTCTCTGGCGTGGTGCTGGCCCCCAACAACAACAAGTTGTACATGATCCCGTACGGACCAGACATCATCCCCATCGTCGACCCGCTGCTCAAGACCGTGGACACGACGACCCTGTACCAGTTTCCGGGTGCCGTTCGAAACAGCTGGGTCGATGGCGTCCTGAGCAGCACTGGCTTGATCGTCGGCGTTCCTGGCGGTGCAAAAGCCGTGTTGGTGATTGACCCCTTCAGCAACACTGCTGAGGCCACATCACTCGCCCTGAACGACGAGCGAGGGTTCAAGTGGCACGGCGGCGTGCTCGCGGACAACGGCTTCATCTACTGCATCCCCAACAACGCCGACACGGTGCTTGCCGTGTACCCGGAGAAGGGCCTCCTCAACACCTTCCAGCTGCCCGCGACCATCGATACGGTTGCAGTGGGCGGCATGTGGCGCGGCGGCGTGAAGGGCCGCGATGGGCGCATCTACGGCATCCCCGGCACGGCGTCGTCCGTGCTTGTCATCGACCCCGCCACAAACACCTTCGACGTCACCAGCGTTTCCATCAACGTGCCTCCCGTGCTGTACCGGTGGCAGGGCGGCGTGCTCGCAAGCAACGGGCTCATCTACGTCACGCCGTACAACGCGGAGGCGGTGCTGGTGATTGATCCGCAGCACGGCACCACGTCCATGCTGCCGCTCACCAGCCCGGTCAAGGCTGGGTGGGCAGGTGCGGTTGTCAACCCGGTAGATGGCCGCATCTACATGCTCCCATATGACGCACGGCACGTGCTCATCGTGGACCCTGCAACCAACACCGTCGACGAGACCACAGCGGACATCACCAACCTAGCGCCACCGTACCATAAGTGGTGGAACGGTGCCTACATTGAGGCGACCAGGACTGTGTACGGGTTTCCCAGAAGCGCCCAGGGCTTCCTTGGTGTGGACGCAGACCTCGCAAGCGTGTGCTGGTGATGTGTGTTGAGTGTGTATTGAGTGTTGTGTGTGTGATATGTGTGTGTGATATGTGTGTGCGTGATGTGTCTGGTGTGTAGTGTTGGTGTGTCGAGAGCGTGTATGGAGTAAAGTGTGTAGCATAGAGGTATGTGTTTGCATGTATGTAGCAAATGATAAGTGCACGAGTCAATGTGTGTTGCTGCCTGGTTGAATTCCAAGGCATGTGAAGTTGCCACGTTGTGAGTGATGTAACCTCAAGCGCCCCCCCCCCCTTTACTCTAGCCCACTTCCCCATGTTACCCTCCTTGCGCCCATAAACGCAGTAGTAGCAACGATGATGTGGCGCTTGTTCAATGTCACAACACACACATGCACGCACGCACACACACACACGCACAAGTCACATAACCTTGACGATAACCAAGGTACAGCATGGACAACAGAGACGGCGACGATGAAAGAACACGACCGCGAAGACGAGGCGGTGCAAGGCCCGCGTACACGCCCTCACAATCACACAATCACACACACATAAGACGAGACACAAACCCAAAGGCGATCGT